TTTGATTCGACACGTAATAAAAATTAAAGATGTGAAACAAATTACAAAATGGCCGCCGCCAACGAATAACAAAAAAAACGCACACAAACGCACACGCGACGCGGATGTCGTTGTCGTCGTGAATGTTTTGTATTCGATATTTTTCGACTCTCGTTTTTAATCGAACGATTAATGTGATCGAAAAATCATCATTTTTAACTTTACAAGAGGAAAAACGAAATGAAAAAAAAACGTCGAGAGGAAAAACCGAGAAAGAAAAAAAAGAGAGAGAGAGAGAGGGAAAAAAATTTTTTTCTCTTTCTCTCTCTTTCTTTATTTGATGAATTCCAAGCGTTGTATAAACGACCATTTCCGCTTCCTTGAATTTGTAATTACATTTTATTTCATTTATTTAAACGAGACCGGAATGTTTATTATTCCCAAAAAAAAAAAAAAAAAAATTAACCAAGAATAACCGTGGCAACACAATTATTGAAATTTTTTTTTTTTTTTTTTTTTTTTTTGTTTAAAGGTCGACAAAACAATCGTCCGATATAAATAATTTACACAAACACACAAACAAACAAACACAAACACGCTCGCGTTTGTTTTTAAAATTAAAATAAATCGAAGGATTATCGGATTCGTGCCAAAATTTGAAAAAAAAAATTTATATATATATAAAATATAAAAAATGTTAAAAGCTTTCTTTCATTTTTTTTCTCTCTCCTTTTCACTCTTCCCTTTTTATTTATTTTTGAAAATCGTGATGAAGAAGAACAATCGTAAACACTCATTTCTTTTTCTTTTTTTTTTTTTTACCTTGCACGAAAGAGAGAGAGAGACAGAGGGGGGAAGCTTTAAAAAAAAAGAATGGGGGGGAAAGAAAAAATTGCGTTTTCAAATATCGTTTTTTTTTTTTTTTCACTCCATAAAATATATATAACCATTTACAAAAAAATCAAAATGGCTTCCACAACATCAAGGAAACTACTACCAACTACTAACAACACATACATGCACACGCTTATTACTAACAAACAAACAAACAAACAAACAAATAATAAAACACAAACTCGTCGTGTCGTGACATTTGTTTATTAGATTTGGAATGTTTAAAACATTTCGAAATCGATTTTTACCGAACCCGTATGGGGAATTGAACAAAGAGAGAGAGGGGAAGGAAGAAGGGGGGGGAGAAAGAGGGGGAGAAAAGAAAAAGAAAAAAAAATTTAATCGGTCTTTTATTGTCGTTTACAAAAAATAAATAAATAAATAAAAATTGTTATTTATACATTTACAACAACAACAACAACCAACCGATAACTTTTCTTTTCTTTCTCATTGCTACGAAACGCTACGCTTGTGAACGCACACGCACACCCACACGCACATGCACACGCACACGCACACACGATTGAAAAACAAATAAAAAGCCACGACGGACGGAAAACTCCCCTGCCCCCTCCTTACCTTTTTTCCCTCCCCCTACATTTACGCAACGATTATAAAAAAAAATTACAAAAGCAACTCATTCGAAACTCATTCGCCAAACAAACAAACAAACACAAACAAACAAACCAACAAACAAATTTACAAAATTTACCCACTTGTTGGTTAATTATAATAATTTTCAACGTCTCGATTTTAATAATAATTATTATTATTATCAAGTTCAATGATTACGTTATGAAAAATAAAATTTCCAGTCGAAATAAAAAATTAATTTTCCCTTTAAACCCCTCCCCCCCAAAAAAAAGAGAGAGAGAGAGAGAGAGAAAAGGGAATGAGAAGAAGGATTCGTTTGAAAATTTTCCATATTCGCATAAAAAATAAATATATAAATAAATAAATGTGAAAATAATATCGTGAAATGATTAAAAAAAAACAAACAACAACCGTCTCCCTTTTTGCCTTCCTCCCTCCCTCCCTCCTTCCCCCTATTCCATCAACGTTTGAATTCGAATTAAACGAGGAATTAAAAACCTTAAATTTCCCCCCCCCTCTTCTTGTGACACGAGGAGAGAAGCAAAAAAAAAAAAACAAAAAGAAAAAAAAAATTTTTCTTTACAATTTTTTTTACTTCTCTTCGATTTCTCTTTCCTTCCGTGGGAAAAGAATAACAAACACAACAACAAAACAAAACAAAACAGAGGAGAGGAGAGGAGAGGGAAGGGAAGAAGAAGAAGAAAAAGAAAAATCAAGTTTCCTTTGTTGAAAAATTGACGTCCTTGACCTGCCCAAAATTTACTTTTTATTAAAAATGAACGACAAAGGAAAGGAACCATTCAAAATCACGGAGATGATGATGATGATGATAATAATAATAATAATAATAATAATAATAATAATAATAATAATAATAATAATAAAGTAGTAAATATCCCTTATTTATTATACGTTGTTAAATAACAACATATGCACGCATGAGGGAGGAGGAGGAAGAGGGGGAGGAAGAAATATTTTAAAATTACAAAAGGTAAGAGATTGAAATGTATCGGTCACCTGGCACAACAACTAAACAAAAGGGGTGAATACTTTTATTGATACGTCCCTCCTCTTCCTCTTCCTCTTCCTCCTCCTTCTTTTTCAAAAATAGAGAGAGAAAGAGAGAGAGGAGTAAAAAGTATTCGAATTCCCTTCGGCTAATTTCAGGTACGCCAATCAAATTAAAAACACTATGAATTTTTTTTTTTTTTTTTTTTAATTTACATAAGAGAGGCAAACGGAAAAAGGGAGAAGAAACGGAGGGAGGAGAAGAAGCAGGAAGGAAAGGGGAAGGAAAAAAAAGGTTTGAATAATTCGATTGACTTCAATAAACTGTAAAATTGGGTCAGGAAAAAAAAAAAAAAGGTTAATACCACTACCACGCACAGCTTTGGAGTAAAAAAAAAAAAAAAAAATAATAATGATAATAAGTAAAAAGTAGGATACAGATCCGATTGAATGCCTGCAAGGCTCTCTCACCTCACCTCCCCTCCCCTCCTACCCCAAATCGAACTCGAATCCTATTATCGACCTTTTTTCTCTCATTCTTTTCTTCTCCATTTAGAACACACCTCGTTTTGAAAAGAAAAAAAAAGGTAAAATTGCCTTTTTTGTTAAAAAAGAGTTTTTTTTCCGTTTCCGCACTCATTTCTAACATTTACCGTTACGTTTATATTTAAAAAAAAAAGAAGAAAACAAGCATTGACACTCACATTTGTTTGATTGATACTTTTTTCTCTCCCTTTTCCTTTGCCCCTCCCCCGACTCCCAGCCCTAATTTTTACCCCGAAAAAAAAATGGGGAAAAGTTAAAAAAATAAAAAAATTACCCAGAATTTTCCTTTTTCTCCATTTGAAATCTAAAAAGTAATAACCAAATTCCAAAATTTTTCTTTTTTTTTTTTTTTGGGAATCAACAAAATTCAATGATAAACCTTTTCCTCCTCTTCCAAAAATATAATAATAATAATAATAATAATAATAATAATAATAATAATAATAATAATAATAATAATAATAATAAAACTTATATAAATGAAATCTAGAATTTTCCCGGAGGCCGTTCCAACGAATAGAGAGATAGGGAAACAATAAGAATGGGAAAAAGTAAAAGAAACAGAAGAGGAGGGGAGAGGAGAGGAGAGTACAGGAGGAGGAAGAGGAGGAGGAAAGGAAAAGATTAAGAATTTTGTTTTCGGAGCAATTTTTTAACTTTTGAAACTTTTAATTTTCTTTTTCCTTTTTCTTTTAACTTTTTTCTCTTTCTCTTTTTTTTTTCATTCTCTCTCTTTTATCTATCTTTCTTTCTTTCTCGCTCTTTTCGTCTCTCCGTCTTTTTCCTTTCCTCTCACTCATTTTCTAAATTCACTTAGCCCTAAACATTCAATGAAATGACGGCGGCCTTTTTTAAATTTGAGAAAATTTTAATTTTTCTTTTTTTTGCTTCAAATTTTTTTTTAATCAAATCAAGAAAGCTTATTTTTATTGTCTCGGAGCGAATTCATTAGCAATAATTATTCGTAGCAAATTAAAAATTTAAAGAAGAAGAATAAGAATAAGAAAAAGAAAAAGAAGCAAAAAAAAACGGGAGGAATGGAGGGAGGAAGGGGAGAGAGAGAGAAAAGAACTTTTTAATTTCAAAATTATGAAAATTTTTCGTCCTTTTTTTTTTTAAATTTTCCGACGCGAGGAAAAAAAATTATCCTACTATTCGGATTTTAATATAATATATCACACACATACAAACAAACAAACAAACAATCACAAACGCGCCCTGGATAAAATTGACAAACAAACAAACAATGTAAAACTTTGTACGCAATCACTCATCCAAAACCTTTCACTTACACGGGGAGAATCGAAAATTAATTTGACGTTGTGGGATTTAATGTCAATGCTCTTATTTTCTCTCTCTCTCTTTTGATTGTTTCATCTTTTTTCCTCTCTTTGTTTTTTACTCTCTTTTAACCGTTATAATATATATATATATATATATATATATAAATATATAAACATCCTCGCGCTCGTTCACCCGCACACCATCACCATTCTTTCGGCAACAATTGCGACTAAATGAACTCGAATCGGCGAAAGAGCATTTTTTTTTTTTTTTCCACGTTCACTCGGTAAAAAATTAATTTTTAATTCGTAAATATTTTTCTTTTAATGTCGGAAAAAACGTTTTTCAATATGGCGTGTCAGAAGTAAAAAAAAAAAAAAAAGTAATTAAAACGTGTTAAAAAGTTATGTGCAAACGAGGGAGCGAGGGAGAAAAATCAGAATTTCTTGCGGAGAATTAGTTCTAAATTCTCAAAATCTTTCATTTTACTCCAACCCCAAGCGGCAGAAAAATGTAAAATATCAACAAAAGTATAATGAGAAAGGGGTGGAAATAGCATTCTCTGCAAGCTGCGGTTCCGTCGTCATGGAAACCGGGGGCCTGACAATTAGAACAACGGAAATTCTTTTTCACTTTGCAAAACAAAAAAAAAATACCACAATACGCGGGGAAAAAAAAAATATATAAAAAAAAACTCACCGAAGCAAACGATCCTTATCTTGAAAAAATGCTCGCTCTCTTTCCAGCAGTTCTTCCGCGGACGTGTGAGTCGGTCCCAGTAGATGAGGAGCCACCGGTAAAGGTGGATACCTCTGTTTCCACAGCACTTCCGGCAACTGGGAATACAGTCCTGGGGGCGGCAAGGGCACATGAAGTGGATGAGGGCTGAGTAAAGGAGGCGGCGGAACGGGAGGGTAGTGAGCAGTTTGTGCCTGTACCAGGGCTAGGGCTTGCTGGGCTTGTGAAACGCTCGGCGCTGAATTATTCGAGGGCGGCTGCGGCGCCGATGCAGGCGGTGGGTGCGACATGAGAAGAGTCTGATGCTGAACACTTTGCACGTGCCGAACACGTGGTTCTGCTGCTAAACTAGGGTCTCTCCACACGCGAACGGGTTCCGAACTAGGTTTATCGTTGTTATGCGAAGTATTCGTAGGAATAAATAAAGGAGATCTGTTTGTAGGTTGAGTAGTTGTAGTTTGTAGCTGCGACTGAGGCTCGTCGGAAATGCTCAAGGCGCTGGATCTAGATCCGGAGCGCTCATCCCCGCTTCCGGAGCGGAACGAACTTACTCCTGAATCTGATCGATCGTCTGGAAAGCGCGACACCGCCGTGCCCGCCGCGTCATCCATCTTGAACGGCGAGGACCTAGACAAGGGACCGTCATCGTCGACGCTGTTGCACTCCGGAGCGGACGTGATCACCGGCGGGCCGGCCTCGTCATGACTTGAATTTAGCACGATTGAATTCGAACGGCAACCCCTCGTGACGTTATCGTTTGGCTTATCCCTGTTGATTTCGGCACTTTTTATAATTCCACTCTTAACGGTCCTTTTATAAAACACTTCCGCGATTTTTTTCGGATCCGCCGTAAACGTCCTTTCCTGCTTGGAATGAACCTCGCTTTTACTTTCAATAGCGACACCCTTTAATAGTTCAGACGTATTGGAATTGAAAGAACGCTGCGGACTTTTTTCACCTTTTAAGTTTTTACCGTTGTTTTCACTGTCGTCGGAATTACCGTGAGTATCCTTCACGACCGATTCATCTTTGTCGCTGCCTTCGGATAAAACGGCAGGAACCTCTCCTTCTTCTCTAGCTTCCAAAACGGGAAACTTGTTCGTTTCCAAACAATCCTCTACCCGAACTTGCACATCTCGAAGCTTGCTATTATTTGCTTCTTCCAATATTTTCTTTTTCGTTCCTCTGTTGTTTGTACGCTTTTTGTTGCCTTTGTTTTCTAAATCCTCTTTTTGAATTGTAGTGACAACCTCGTTTTGATCGCTGTTCCTTCGTCTTCTGGATTTACATGTGTTTCCACCACTTTTCTGATCGCATGACTCTGTTAGCAAAAAAGAAAAAAGAACAAATTAATTTTATTTTTAAATATCGTAAATTAAAAAAAAATAATAATAATAATAATTCGTTTGCTCGTCTGCTTTTTATTCACTTTTTCTCTGTCATTAAATTAAATACTTCTTCCTCTCACAAACAATGTATTCGCAATAATTCACCTACGCACAAAAAATCCCAATACTTTTCGCACCGCTCAATATCAGTTGGAAAAAAAAAAATTATCATTCCAAATCGTTGACTACTCATCTTGTTAATGAGGCTGCTTTGCCACCATTTTCCACAGATAAGATAATAATAATAATAATAATAATGGTAATAATAATAATAATAATAATAACAACAACAACAATAACGAACAACTAAAACAGTTCAGATAAAAAATTTACTAAAGTTAAACACAGATAAGCCGATGAAACATCACACGGTCCCAACTCTTAGGTATTAACGAAAAAGACTCAAGTGCGTTTTTTTTTCTCTTTTTTTTTTTTTTTTTATCTTTTCCCCATCAAGAGATTATTATTATTATTACAGCAGTTTCGAAAAGGAAAAAGAGGGAGGACAACACAAAAAAAAAAAAAAAAGGACGACAGGAATTAAGTTTTTACCCCTCCTTGATAAATAACTAGTAGAGCACTAGTAGGGGGAGAAGTGAAAAATTCATGGAAAGGAAAACCCCGAAGTAAAAATGAACCAAAAAGAATTTTTTTTTTTTTTTTTTTCTCTCGAATACAACTACCAGACGCCATCTGCTGCTCGGCTCGAATGATTAATTATTATTATTATCGATAAAATGGTAGGAACAACCAACCACGTTTGCCGAGAGGGGGAAAAATAACATTTTTTATATATGAATCCACGACAACGACGATGACGATGACGACGACGATTTATCGTCGTTTAAATCATTCTAGTGCCACGTCTGCGAGAACGAAACTTATACATATAAAAAAAAAATCTACAACTTCCATTCCACCATCTCTATTCCCTTTTCCATTCGAATACAAAAGAAGGTAAATGTTAATTTTTTTTTTTCTCTCTCTCTCTCTCTCTCTCTCAACAATAACAACAAAACAAAACAAAACAAAACAAAATAAAAAAGAAAGAAAGAAAAGAGAAAGAGAGAGAGAGAGAGAGAAAAAAAAATTGCCAATTCATACGCGACCTAGAAAACTTGCACGATCGAATTTTAATCGAATTCGTCTAGTTTTAAAATAGAAATCGCATTTACTTGATACTCACGTAGCAAGCAAGCAAGCAAGCAAAAAAAGAAAGAATAGAAAAGAAAATAATGATGATGATGATGATGATGATGATGATGATGATGATGATACTATAACAGCAAAATAAGAAGTGAAAGAGATTTTACAACGAATTGAGACCCCCTAAAAAAAAAAAATAAATAATAATAATAATAATAATAATAATAATAATAATAAAAAATTAAGGACGTAAACTTTTTTTTTTTTTTTGAAACTCATAAAAGGAAATACAAACACACACACACAATTTCTCATATGAACTTTTTGAACCCGTTAAACGCAGTCAAAAACTTCTCTCAAGGCAATTTTTTAGCATATACAACCAAAACAACAACAACAACAACAAACTGCAACAATCCGACAACCGAACGAGAGTAGAAAAAACAAAAAAAAAATTCTCATTTGATTCAAAACAGGCTCTTTCGTTATTTATGATTCTTTTTCCTTCTTCTTCATTCTCCTCCTCCTTCTCCTCCTTTTCCTTCCTCGGAACTCATTTTCAGAAAACAATAATAATAATAATAATAATAATAATAATAAATTGTTAATTTCGCGAGGAAAACTCAGTAGTAGTTGTAGTTGTACCTTAATTAAGATTTTTTATTACGACGCGACCTACGTAAAAAGCACATTGCGGACTTTAAACTTTAATTTGAAAAAAAAAAAAAAAAAAAAAAAAAAATTTAAATAAAGATAATTACGTTACTATTATTATTATTATTATTATTATTATTATTATTATTATTATTATTATTATTATTATCCACCATTAAACACGACAAGGCTACTTGTCGGAGTTTTTAAGTATTTATCCGAGGTTTCTACCCGATTCCTTAGGGACAAATACTCGAATTTCGGTGGTGCCACTTATTATAAGATAGCACCACATCAATTCTTGAAGGTCTTCCTGAGTCCATCTTTATTCGATGGGAACGATTTGTCTCCTGAACTGGGCTCCGGTGACTAACATCTTTGGAGTGGCCAGGGTCAGAAGCAGTGAAATTCACATTCTCGTCGAGCTGCCTCAGGTCGACAGTAGAACAAGATTTTGTTTTTGGTTCTTACTTTGTCTTGTTCTCATTTTTTTTTGCTCTTTTAAGCCAACAGCACGTGGCGTTCTCAGACGGTCACCCATCCAAGTTTGCACCACGCCCGATGCTGCTTAACTTCGGTGATCGTACGGGAACCGGTGTGACCAGCACGCTATGGCCGTTGGCTTATTATTATTATTATTATTATTATTATTATTATTATTATTATTATTATTATTATTATTATTATTATTATTATTATTATTATTATTATTATTATTATTATTATTATTATTATTATTATTATTATTATTATTATTATTATTATTATTATTATTATTGTTATACAATCTTTTTTTTTTTTTTTTTTTGTTTGAGCCTGGCAGATGAATAAGTGTGTCGAAATCTCAAGAGTTATGAAACGACAAAGAATTATTATACACAGTGATAAGCTGATAAAAATAAAATAATGATAATAATAATAATAATAATAAATTGAAAACATAATCATCATCATTTATAAATAAATACGCGTACGATGTTTAAATATTATTATTATTATTATTATTATTATTATCATTATTTTCGTTGTATAAAAGAAAACATAAAAACAATTTTTTTTAAAAATTTAATTGGAGTTCTTTTTTTTTTTTTTTTAAATCAATAAAATCGATTAACGTTTTGAAAGAACAAAGGAAAGGGTGGGAAGTAGTGGTAGAAGTGAGGGGGAAGAATAGAAAGAGAGAGAGAGAGAGAGAGAGAGAGAGAAAAATTAACGAAATAAATAAATAAAAGAATGATAACGATAACAATAATAACTCGATCGATTAATTTGAAATATATTTTTAAAATGAAAGTTTTTTTTTTTCTTTCTTTTTTTCTTTTTCTCATTTTCTCCATTTTCTTTTCTTTTCTTTTCTTTTCTTTTCTTTTCTTTTCTTTTCTCTTCTCTTCTTTTCTTTCCGACCCCGATTATTTATTTAAAAGCGAATATAATCGCGGATTATAGTGCAAATAAAAAATTAAATTAATTCGATCGAAAGCGGAACTCGAGTAAAAATAAACGAGATTTCCCCCTGCCCCTCCCCCCAATTTTCGTAATTGCGAAAGGGGAAAGAAGTCAAATAAAAAAAATGACATCAATAATAATAATAATAATAATAGTAATTTTTTACACGTGTGCATTTGAAGGGAGCACGTTTAAACAATCGTTTTGACCTTCAAAAAAACAACAACCACGACGACGACGTTTTTTTTTTTTTCTTAAACGTTTTACCCTTTTGCCAACAGATCGCGCTGGCCTATGTACCCTCCCGACCCTCAACCCCTCCTCCCCCCATTTTCTCCCCAACAAATTTTTTTCAAACTCGTTTCCGTGCCTTCAACAAACAAACAAACAAATATCGACTTTTCGTCATCATTACCCTTCCCCCATCCCCGGAAAAACTATTTTTTCCCGAGTGAAAATTTCGCACCGTTTTATTATTTCATCGCATCGTGACGACGACGACGACTTTAAAATTTCGTTTCATTACAAACAAAGCAAGCGACGACTTGAAAAACTGGTCACGAAACCAAACAAACGAACGAAACGAAATTCATGAACGCCATTTTTGTTTACACAAAAATTATTATTATTATTTTAAATGGAAAATAAACAAAAAAAAAAAAATTAAATTAAAAATTAAAACAAAGAAAGTATAACAAAAACAAAAAAAATTCGACGCAGCCAGTCAGCCAGCCAGCCAACCAACCAACCAGCCTGCCTGAAATTGCATGCATTGGCCTTAAAAAGAAATACGAGGGGGGAGGGGGGGCCATATCGGTTGGGGGAGAGGAAGAGGGGGGAGGGAGGGAGGGAGGGAAGTGAAGTGAAGTGAAGGGAGCAAATTGGCAACGAATCGAAGTTTAACGTCGTTTAATTTGAACATGCAACTTCATCGCCAATTTTTTTTTCTTTTTTTTTTTTTTTCATCGAACAAACGAGTTTTTGTTGTAACTTTCACCGCGTCCGCCATTTTTCCTTTCTTTCTTTCTTTCTTTTTTAAATATTGATTAGAGAGAGAGAGAGAGAGAGAGAGAGAGAGGTCCACCACCACCACAATGATTTTTACATCAACAATTTTTTTTTTTTTTCACACTAATTTTATCGAATCGAATTAACAACAAAAATAAAATTTCATCGATTTAAATAATAATAATAATGATGATGATGATGATGATGATGATGATGATGATAAAAATTCCGCGAAATCATCAATTATTCCGTTATCATTATTATTATTATTGTTATCATTCGAAAAAAAAATAAAGGAAAATGTTAATTTTTTATCAAACTAAAAGTCGTTCATTATTCGTCACATTCGATTTCAGAAAATTCTAGAAATTTCTCGAGCCTTCTTTCCAACTCTCTCCCTTCCAAAAAAAAAAAAAATCGTTTCGAATCGATAATTCTTCTCATCTTATCATTGCATAACACGCTTTAATCGTGAGCTATGACGAATTTTACTTTAGGTATTCAATCGATAACTTACAATAAAATAAAGAAAGAAATTGTTGTTGTTGTCGTCTAGTCACAAACATTCCATTATTTACAATGGAAAATAACCAACAACAACTCCAAACAACAATAACGACAAACGCTTATAAAAATAAAAATATTTTTTCAGGTGGAAAAAGTTCGTGGAGGACGGGGCGGGGCGGGGGGTCTCTCCGATTGAATAATTTGATGGAATCACGCTACGAAAGACCGGTTCTTCTGGATTTTACCTTGATTGTTTCTTTTTTTTTCTTTTGTATAATCTTTGTTTCCAAAAAAAAAAATTTTCATTCCGCTTTCTCTGACTTTTTCACACAACTTTGACCCACCAAACGAATCCAACGAATTTGTTTTTCCTCGTTTTTGTTCTTTTTTTTTTTTTTTTTTTTTTTTTGCAAATTTTTTCGAATTGAATCG